TAACTCTGGTCAGATCACTGACAATGATAAGGATATGTGTAAAATTCTCAATACCTACTTCCTCTCAGTTTTCACCCAGGAAAATACTAGCGATATTCCTGAAATAATAGATTATGTAGAACAGGATAATAAACTATGTACGATTGTGGTAACTAGTGACATGGTCCTCAGACAAATAAAGGAACTAAAACCTAACAATTCCCCAGGCCCTGATGAACTGTTTGCAAGGGTGTTAAAGGAATGTAAAGAGGAACTTAGCATACCTTTGGCTAATCTTTTTAACATATCACTACAAACTGGCATAGTGCCTGATAAGTGGAAAATGGCAAATGTAATACCTATTTACAAGGCAGGTGACAGGTCCTTGGCTTCGAACTATAGACCAATAAGCCCTACCTCCATAGTGGGAAAATTTATGGAATCAATAATTGCCGAAGCAATTCGTAGCCATCTTGATAGGCACAGATTGGTTAATGAATCTCAACATGGTTTTACAAAGGGGCATACCTGTCTTACGAATTTACTAACTTTTTTCACTAAGGTGTTTGAGGAGGTAGATCATGGTAATGAATATGATATTGTGTATATGGACTTCCGTAAGGCTTTTGATAGAGTTCCACATCAGAGGCTATTGAGGAAACTTAAGGCACACGGAATAGGAGGAGAAATTTTTTCCTGGGTAGAGACGTGGCTGACAAATAGGCAGCAGAGAGTTTGCATAAATGGGGAGAAATCAGACTGGGGGCACGTCACAAGCGGTGTTCCTCAGGGGTCAGTGTTGGGCCTGTTGTTGTTCACAATTTACATAAATGACATAGATGAGGGAATAAATAGTGACATAAGCAAATTTGCTGATGACACCAAAATAGGCTGTCCAATTCATTCTAATGAGGACACTAGAGCACTCCATGATGATTTGAATAGACTGATGCAATGGTCGGAGAAGTGGCAGATGCAGTTTAATATTGACAAATGCAAAGTTCTAAATGTTGGACAGTTAAATAACCATGCCACATATAAACTAAATGATGTAGTTCTTAATACCACTGATTGCAAAAAGGATTTAGGAGTTCTGGTTAGCAGTAATCCAAAACCAAAACAACAGTGCATTAGTGTTCGCAATAAAGCTAACAGAATTCTTGGCTTCATATCTAGAAGTATAAATAATAGAAGTCCTCAGGTTGTTCTTCAACTCTGTATATTTTTGGTTAGGCCTCATTTAGACTATGCTGCTCAGTTCTGGTCACCATATTACAAAATGGATATAAATGCTCTGGAAAACGTACAGAGGAGGATGACAAAGATGATCCCATATACATGTATCAGAAATCTTCCATATGAGGATAGACTGAGGGCCCTGAATCTGCATTCTCTCGAAAGGCGTAGAATTAGGAAGACGGGGTAGGGGTCGGCCTAGGAAAGGTTGGAGGGAGGGGGTAAAGGAGGTTTTGTGTGCGAGGGGCTTGGACTTCCGGCCGGCATGCATGAACGTGTTTGATAGGAGTGAATGGAGACAAATGGTTTTTAATACTTGACATGCTGCTGGAGTGTGAGCAAAGTAACATTTATGAAGGGATTCAGGGAAACCGGCAGGCCGGACTTGAGTCCTGGAGATGGGAAGTACAGTGCCTGCACTCTAAAGGAGGGGTGTTAATGTTGCAGTTTAAAAACTGTAGTGTAAAGCACCCTTCTGGCAAGACAGTGATCGAGTGAATGATGGTGAAAGTTTTTCTTTTTCAGGCCTCCCTGCCTTGGTGGGAATCGGCCAGTGTGTTAATAAATAAAAAATATGATCGAGGTGTATAAATGGAAAACAGGAATAAATAAAGGGGATGTAAATAGCGTGCTGAAAATTTCCAACCAAGACAGGACTCGCAGCAATGGTTTCAAGTTGGAAAAGTTCAGATTCAGGAAGGATGAGTGAAACAAACTTCCGAGTACAGTTATTCAGGCTAAAATGTTGTGTTGCTTTAAAAATAGGTTAGATACATACATGAGTGGGTGTGGGTGGGTGTGAGCTGGACCTGACTAACTTGTGCTGCTGGGTCTGGTGCCATGCTCCATCCTTGAGTGGAGGTGACCAGACTGGGAGGGTCATTGGGCTAATCCTGGGGGGGGGGGTTTATTGGGCTAATCTGGGGGGGGCATGGACCTGCTCTGCATGGGCCAGTAGGCCTGTTGCAGTGTTCCTTCTTTCTTATGTTCTTATGTTTATTTTGTTTCACATTACTACTGTTCTAACATTTATACATACATATACAGCCACTGGTCATGTTTCTGGACCTGTAGCATTCTGTGGAAGTCCTTAAAACATGGTAGCATGCATGTGTGTTTTACACATACTGTACATAAATCATGTATCTTTATTTATTTATTTATTTACAATTTGAGCACACATACAGAGGTACAAAAAAATACAGATAAGAGCAGCATGCCAAAGCCACTTATACTATGCATAGCATTACGGGCTGGCTTAAAATTAACTTAAGATTAACTAAGCAATGATGAAATCAGTGATAAAACATTAATGTAAACAGATTACTATAAAGCACAAGTGTTTTACATTGCTGTACATTCAGTAGAATGGAGTATTCTGTTAGGTAGTGTATTTAAAAAATAATAAAGTTAGATTGGGTTTTAGGTTTAACATTTATGTGATATAATTGTGAGAAACATTTAAGATATACAATTTATAAGGTTCAGTTATTCAGTATTTATTTGGTTTTGGGTGAGTAAGTGATCTTTGAGAAGAGACTTGAATTTATAAACAGGTAGTGTTTCTTTTATATTTACAGGTAATGAATTCCAGATTTTAGGGCCTTTTATGTGCATTGAGTTTTTGCATAGTGTGAGATGGACATGAGGAACATCAAAGAGTGATCTATGCCTTGTGTTATGGTCATGTGTTCTGTTGAGGTTGGCAAGGAGATGTTTGAGGGGAGGGTTAATATCAGAGTTAAGTGTTCTATGTATGTAATAGGTGCAGTAATAAGTATGGATGTTTTGTATGGTGAGTAGGTTTAGTGTATTGAATATTGGTGGAGTGTGCTGCCTGTAGTGAGAATTTGTTATCATTCTAACTGCAGCCTTTTGTTGGGTAATTAGTGGTCTGAGATGGTTAATTGTTGTTGAGCCCCATGCACAAATTCCATAGGTGAGATAGGGGTAAATAAGAGAGTGATATAGGGCCAGGAGGGCTGACTGTGGAGCATAGTACCGTATTTTCGATAATATGCCTACAGTCTTGGAAATTTTCTTAGAAATTTGTTGTATATGTGTATGAAATTTGAGTCTATTATCAAGGTGGATTCCTAAGAATTTTCCCTCTGTTAGCTTTGTGATAGGTGATCCGTTTATCATTATGTTAAGAGGGACATCTGCTCTCTGTGCTATGTTAGGTGCCTTGTTTGTACATGGACTTAAAATATCTTCAGAATCCATTTCCTCTTGTCTAGCAGGAAGTGCAGTTAGGTATGGATCACCAAACTTCAAATGAGAGAGTATTTGGTGATCATTTCAGTATTGCATGTGTACTGCAGTTGTTGTTACCTGGTATTTTTGTATTACAGTGGTACCCTGAGCTTCGTACATAATTCATTCCAGAAGGCTGTTCGAGTGCTGTTACCAAACAAATTTGTTCCCATAATGAATAATGTAAATTAGATTAGTCCATTTCAGACCCCCAAAAATGCACTTACAAAAGCACTTACAATAATACACTTATATAATTGTTCAAGTTGGGAGCTGTACAAAACTCAGGGTACCACTGTATTTGCCATATGACAGACAAACAAATGTGGAAATATGGTGGTTTGTTGCCAGTCCTGACCTGGTACATATTGTATGCATTTAACATTACAGTGTCCACAAGAAATGGAAGAACAGCACACAAATAATGTCCACAGGAGATGGAAGAACAGTACACAAATAACCCACACATAAGAGAATGAAACTTGTCAGGACATTTTGGTCCAACTTGATAATGATGTTCATGATAAATTTATTTCAGCATGATACAATATTTGTACAAAAGATAATGACATTTGGTGTACATGTTGAAAGCCCCTTTATATGCAGAGCATTTCGGGTTAACATAAGACTCCTTTAGGATTAATAAGGCAGTAACACTATGAGTAATTTTGTGCATACAATCTTGGACCATTAACTACTCATGGTGACTAGTTAATGGGTCTAATTAGACCAAAAATCCTCGTAAGCTACAGTCTCTTATGTGCGGGTTATTTATGTGTTGTTCCAGTCATAGTATTGTGCCTTTTTTTTTCTTTAAGGAAGAATAGTTTTATATACATTGTAATTCTTGCAAGCACAATAAGTAAACCCAGTTTTCATGTTGCTTTTTTCTACCAAACACATATTGGCAGGTCTGCGAATGGGTTTGTTGGTGTCTCTATTCACTTTTTTTTGTGTCTTTTAATTTTTGGTGGTGATTTGATGTCAGCAGTGTCACATAATATTTGTCTTTCTTTCGAAATGCCATGATGTCATTAGCATGAAATGCCTGCACATCAATGGTGGCAGTGCTTGCAATGAACTTGGGCATATGTTTACACATTTAATGCACTGTACCACATACACATCTGTCATGTTCACTCACAGGAAGTTGCTGAGTAAGGGACATATGTTCAAGTTATCCATGTATAATGTATACCCCTTTTTCATCACATCACCTGAGATACCCAATAACTTCCTGGTATCTATCAGTCATTTTGCTTTTTGTGTACACAATAAGATTGAATACCAGGCCTTTTTCACGATCACAACACTGACAGCTTGATACCAAAGCATTTTCTCTTATTTGGTATGTACTGCTTGAATGACAGTCTACCTTTGAAAAGTATCAGACTTGTTGATTACTAAGGTTCTTAAAGGGATAAAAATACACAGTGAACTTAGGTTACAGATACTTAATGATGGTCTAGTATGAACATACTGAGCATGAATATTTGTAAGTGATGTCACATACAAATGCTCATCTTCAGCATAAATTTTTTTTTATACTACATTTATAAATTATTTCAATTTAGTGTCATGGGTTGGAAAGTGGGAGTGGTGATATTTATTAAAAATTTTCAGAATATATATACTTTATCAGTACTACAGCCTCACTTTCAGTTATTTATTGTAAATTTTGTCATTACACAGGCAAGTGGAACAGATAAAACAGTGATAGCATTTATAATTTTTCCAACCAAGACCAACAACTTTAATATTGAATCACTGAGAGGCCAAGCTGTTACTAAGTCACTGCGTGATGCTATCCATGATATTCAAGCGAAGATTGGGAAACGCATGTACGACATTTGCCTTACGTAAGTTAGTGTTTTGTATGGAGTTTTACTTTATGTATAATTGTGTATCTTTTTAAGGTGCCGTGTGGAATTAAAGGAAAAATCTAACTGAAACAGCTTTAGCAGTGGTATTATTTTAATTACATTTGTACTTGTACAGTATATTTTTGATTTAATGGACTAATAGGGAGTGTCTGATGTATCAAAATAATGTTAAAAAATAGCAGTAAATTGCACTAAAATACTTTGCTGCATACTTAATATAGTACTTAACACAGTTTACGGATTATTATTATTACTAACACATCGGCTGTTTCCCACCAAGACAGGGTGGCCCAAAAAAGAAAAACTTTCACCATCATTCACTCCATCACTGTCTTGCCAGAGATGCACTTAAACTACAGTTATAAAACTGCGACAATAACACCTCTCCTTCAGAGTGCAGACACTGTACTTCCCATCTCCAGGACTCAAGTCCGGCCTTCCAGTTTCCCTGAATCCCTTCATAAATATTACCCTACTCACACTTCAACAGCATGTCAAGTCCTAAAGACCATTAGTTTCCATTCGCTCCTATCTAGCATGCTTATGAACACTTGCCAGAAGTCTAAGCCCCTCGCACACAAAAACCTTTTCCTAGGCTGACCCCTACCCTGCCTTCCCTCCATTACAGATTTATATACTCTTGAAGTCATTCCATTTTGTTCCAGCCTCCCTACATGTCTGACCCACCTCAACAACCCCTCCTTAGCCCTCTGGATAATAGTTTTGGTAATCCCACACCTCCTAATTTCCGAACTGCGAATTCTCTGCATTATATTCACACCACACGTTGCCCTCAGACATTACATCTCCACTGCCTCCAGCCTTCTTCTTGTTGCAACATTCACCACCCATGCTTTGCACTCATATAAGAATGTTGGTATAACTATACTTTTATACATTCCTCTCTTTACTTCCATGGACAAATTTCTTTGTCTCTGCAGACTCCTCAGTGCACCACTCACTTTTTTCCCTTGCCAATTCTATGATTCACTGTCCACTCCTAAATATCTAAATGCATTGACCTCCTCCTTACTCTCTCCCTCCCTCCAATCTGATATCCAACTTCAGTTACCTAAATTTTCTGTTATCCTCATCACATTACTCGTTCCCATATTCACTTTGAATTTTCTTCTTTTACATACCCTACCAAACTCATCCACCAACCTCTGCAACTTCTCTTTAGAATCTCCCAAAAGCACAGTGTCATCAGCAAAGTGCAACTGTGACAACTCCCACTTTGTGTTAGATTCTTTATCTTTGAACACCACATGTCTTGCCAACACCTGAGCATTCACTTCTGTTTCAACCCCATCTATAAATAAATTGATCAACCATGTGACATCACACATCCTTGTCTAAGGCCTACTTTTACTGGGAAATAATCTCTCTCTCTCTCCTACATACTCTAACCTGAGCCTCGCTATCCTCGTAAAAACTTTTCACCACTTTCCATAACCTACCTCCTATTCCATACATTTGCAGTAACTGCCACATTACCTCTCTATCCACTGTCATATGCCTTTTCCAAATCTATAAATGCCACAAAAACCTCTTTATTCTTATTTAAATACTGTTCCACTATATGTTTCACTCTAAACACTTGGCCTACACACCCCCTACTCTTCCTAAAGCCTCCTTGTATATCTGCTATCCTACTCTCCGTCTTACTCTTAATTCTTTCAATAATAACCCTACCATACACTTTTCCAGCTATAATCAACAGGCTTGTTCCCCTGTAATTAAAATTTACCCAGTGGGTTTTGGTCACAATGTTAAAAGTCTATTATATCGAGGGTTTACTGTATATTATATTCTTTTTTATATGCCTGTCTTTGTAAAGATGATCTTCACACTGCTTCAGCACTATTGAGCTTCTCTGAAGACAACTGAAATTCACAAAAATATGATTGAAACTTGTTTAATAGGAGTAATGTGGAAATTGATTCTATAACAATATCAACATGACAGGATTGTTACCAGTAGCACTTAAGTCACATTGCTTTTTGAGTTGTTGAAGTGCTTGCTCATCTTGACATTCATGATACAATGGACCCTTGGGTAACGATGCCATCGGATAGTGATAAAATCAGATACCGATGTGTTTTTGCATAAAAATATTGGCTCTGCCAATGATGAAAAATTCAGTTGAAGACATTTGTCCCAAGTGCGTCTGCAGAGCCTGCGCCGCCCACAGCCACCCAGCCACTAGGTACAGGCAGTGTGCCATTGTTTACAAACCAAGGCAGACGGTTCCATGCATACATGCGATACATTTTGTATTATTCTATTGTTTTTAGTGCTTGTAACTGCTAAATAAGCCACCATGGGCCCAAAGAAAGCTTCTAGTGCCAACCCTGTGGTAAAAAGGGTGAGAAATACTCTTGAATTGAAGAAAGAAATAATCGCAAAGTACGAAAGTGGAGTGCGTGCCTCCGAGCTGGCCTGGTTGCATAACAAACCCCAATCAACCATCACTACTATCTTGGCCAACAGAAAGGCAATCAAGGAAGCTGTTGTTGCAAAAGGTGCAAGTATGCTTACAAAACAGAGATTGCAAATACTCAAAGATGGGGAGAGATTGTTGTTGGTGTGGATCAATGAGAAACAATTATCAGGAGATAGTGTTTCACAGTCAATCTGTGTGAAAAGGCAAGGCAGTTACATGCAGATCTCATTAAGAAAATGCCTGGAACTAGTGCTGATGTTAGTGAATTTAAGGCCAGCAAAGGTTGGTTTGAGAGATTTAAGAATCATAGTAGCATACACAATGGGATAAGGCATGGCGAGGCTACCAGTTCTGACCAAAAAGTGGCTGAAAAATATGTGCAGGACTTTAAAGGGTACATATTGGCTGAAAAATTAAAACTCCAACAGTGTTCAGTTGTGACAAAACAGGCCTGTTTCGGAAGAAAATGCCAAACAGGACCTACATTACTCAGGAGGAAAAGGCTACCTAAAGTACTTATGGAAGGGAATTTCCCTTACAAACAATAATACACCTCCATCATCTCCCCTCCTCCCTTCTCATCACTCATCAATAAATCTTTAATAAAGGTAAGTGCCATTTATTCTTCATGTATTTATTCTTCATGTCTCATTGCTTTCTGTGTAGGAAAATGTATATTTCCTGTAAATAAATTTTTTTTTTTAATACTTTTGGGTGTCTGGAACGGATTAATTGGATTTCCATTATTTCTTGTGGGGAAAATTAAATCGGATAACGGTAAAATCGGTTAAGGACAAGCTCTCTGGAATGGATTAAAATCGTTATCTGAGGGTCCACTGTATAGTTCGTACTCATGTACACACACATGAGTATGTTTCTCTTCCATTACTTTGTGCCTCCTCCTCTTTATTTAATTATAGTGTATTGTTATACAAATTCTTTGCAGTATATTTTAGAAGTTGCTTTGCATGCCGACACTAATATTAGGTACTGAAATACAGCCTCTTCTCACTTAGCGATGTACTCGTTTATACTGACACCTCGGACTTACGGCAAGCTCTATGACCAGAATGCATGCTTATCCCTTAAACTGTCCAAATGTAAATATATGTTTGCACGTGTAGCACTCTGAATGTAGATCTACGTTTTATTTTTCATTCCTTCAATTTTGGTGCAATAGGCCTGAGTCGCATAGACATGAGAGAATGTGTTTGTGCACTCAGTGTGCGCAGTATTAAAAAAATCTGGGATCACTTAGTACCTTGTGGGAGCACCAGTTCAACTGAGCGCCAGCTAGAGCAAATAGCGTGGCAAATACCAGGGATTCACTGATGCCATGTTGCATTAACACTTCCCTTTTAAGAGGAAAGTAAGTTTGATAAATACAGGAGTGAATGTGGATGGGAGTTGGACCTGACTAACTTGTGCTACTAGGTCTGATGTCATGCTACTTAAAGTCTTTATGGAGGGGGATTTCCCTTCCAAACCCTAACTTCTCGCTCTTTCCTCCTCCCTATCTTCCAGAAGCCAGCATTAGCCTTCAATAAAGGTATGTAATACTTACATAATTGTTAAAAAAAATTATTTTTTTGTGAATATTTTTGTTTGGAACGGATTAATTGTATTTCCATTAATTCTTATGGGAAATATTAATTCGGTTTTCGGCCGTTTCGGTTATTGGCCAACCTTCTGGAACAGATTACGGCTGATAACCGGGATTCCACTGTACAGTACACTACTGTATAAACATTTAATTAATAATATACCAGAAATGTTGTAAATGATGCCAAGGTGATATTAAAATAATACCAAACATAGTTGACAGAAACTAACTACCATTATAGCATGCTCCTCACTTAACGATGAATTCATTTACCAACGTGGTCTCAGGAACAGAACCCTATCATTGAGGAGAGGCTGTAGTACTCAAATAGTCACAAACACACTGACAGGTGAACATTTTCACCTGCCTTTGTCACATACTATTGTCTAGAAATATATGCAAAGTATTTGTAGGTCCCAGTAATATTTTAGACATGCTGGAGCTTATATGAAACTCCTTGAAGCATTGTGTAAGATGAGTGTCACTCCACTGCTGACAGTGCAGCAGTGGAGTGACATTTGATGATCGTGCACTGCCTTAGCTTTATTTGTTTTTACTGTTACACATAAACGTGTCTGTCTGTCTCTCTCTCTGAGCCAGAGCCAGCCAGCCAGCCATGAACCAGCAGGTATTACACACAATGCAGAGTCACCTCATCTGATTCTAGAACAAATGAAAATGTGTATTACTAGCTAGTCATGCTTATTATGCCTTATATCTACAAGCACTTTCTTTTTTTTTTTGGGGGGTATTACAACCCAGGATTCCAAATGGCCTGTTATCCCGGGTGTAATGGGAGCAAAATAAACACAGCAGAAAAAGTTTAGACTTATATTATCCTTCACCAATTTAGAACAGCAATATGTACACTATGTACAGTGATAAGTATAGTGCACTCCACGGTAAGCAAGGCAGAAATAGAAGCCA